CCATAGAATTTCAAGGCAAAACAAGTAAAGTTTGGCCCTTAGTCGTCTAAGTATATATCTGTCTTTCATCAAAAGTTATGCAAATTCATTTGTTACATGCTGTTTACATTTTGTAAGTAATTAGCAGCATCAAAAGCACTACCTTTTGTCAGAGGACGCCTACTTACGTAGTCTAATTATAACTAGAATAAGTATTGCAAATTGCTAACATTTTTTAAACCAAATTTATGAAAATAACTCTTTACTTTCATTTTAAAGCGTGTGAAGCGTTTTTTTTTCTGTCTTGCTTCCTAGTGACGCTCGATGGATGGATGACTGGATGGTAATTAAACATCCAAAGGCATATAAAATGCATATTCAAGACGAGAACATAATAATGCGATATGTATATAGATCCTACTTCGTACTGAGTCGTATATTTTAAACGTGCTAGTTCACATGGCACAGTCAGCAGGAAGACATGTCACCTAGCCGGACACTTTAGTCCAATTTCATATGATTTCCAATTTTTAATAATTGTGTTTCTAAACAATCTTCTATTGACAGCGTGCACTGGTTTAACGTAAGAAGTAAAAACAAGCTATGTATTCGCAGATGGCGGTATTTTGGGCAACTGTATGGGTGGTTTTAATTGGCTGTTCAATTATCATTAGGCATGATGGTATGTATTGATGTTGCCAAAAACTTCTTTAGCACTAAATAAAGGATCTTGTTTGGCTTCACTGGTGATTGACAGTCGATCCGCAAAATATTTTTTTTGGTTTTCACTCAGTTTTATCATATTTACTGGAATTTCTGGAAAAAAGGTGCTGTCTATGAAAACACGTCCCAAATATTTCAAAGTGTGCATGGTAAGTGACTGTTGTTCTCTCTTCTAAAAGCTTTCATTATTTGCATACATCATTTTATGATAGAAAAAAAAATCTGCAATAATGTTGACATCTTGAAAACTATGAAAGTGTCCGTCCTTGACCTTTGATCTTGATTTCACGGAAATTGCACTGTACGAAAACAGAAAGTACAGAAGATCAGCTTTCGAATGATCTATATAACTTAGCCTTGTGTTAGGTAGTTGCATTAAAAATTAAATTCTATGGTTAATATCACTCCACTAAAAGGCGTCTTTCAAGGTCCATGAGGTCACTAACTCGAGTCGAGTTGACGATTCGGTTATGATAACTCATTTGTAAATATTGTCCTGCTGAAGTTCAAGGGCAGTAACTCTTAAAAGACGTAAACTGACAATTTATGCTACTTCGACATATTTGTAGACCTTGTCCTGCTCGTCATATTTGCTTTATGCAGCTTCTTTATATCTACTATAGTGTGTCCACAAAAAAACTAACAAATTTTGGTAAAGTGTTTTTCAAGGGAAATAGCGTAAATAAGATGTTGACTGTCGATTTCGGTCGTGTTGACAAATTTGTAAATCGTGTCAAGGATTTGTATAAAATTTTCTATACAAATCCTTGATCGTGTGCGGAAGTAGGAGTACTATAAAATCTATAGAATGTAAACCCATTTCAGGTTTTCATCTAAAAGAAAGGGAAATGTTGAGTACTAAAAATCTAGAATGTATACCCACCACATGTAAGAAATCAATGGTTGTCCTCGTGTATATTCAAATTAGCTCTTATAAGAAGGAATATATAATGCTCCGCTGGGCGCAGCTTGATACGACCGCATAGGTCGAACCCTGAACAGTTGGGGCAAGTATGGACACAACATTCAAGCTTGATACAGCTCTGAATTTGGATTGTGATTAAATATTTGACACAGCATAGGTTTCTGACACAGAATGAATGTGGTCTAAGAACTTAAAAATTTTAAATTTACCTATTCAAACCATATCATTATTATTTGCTTTTTATATATAAATCAGAAATAACCAACTTAAAATGGAAAATTTTAAAGAAAAAAAAAAGGAAAAAAAGGGAAAAAAAAAATCCCCCCCCCATTTTTTTTGGAACCCCCTTATGATTCATCACCCCAAAACTCAATCCTAGCCTTCCCTTTGTGGTATGGTACCTTGCAGTACAATTTCAGAGAGATCCATACACTTGAACACAAGTTATTGTCTGGAAACTAGAAAAATGCTTGTTTTTTTTGCCCCAAATTCCTAAACGTTTAGGGCAATTACCCCCAAACTCAAACCCAGCTTTCCCTTTGTAATATGGAACCTTGTAGTACAATTTCATAAAGATCCATACACTAACACACAAGTTTTGTCCTGAAACTAGAAAAATGCTTGTTTTTTCCCCTTTTTTTGGCCCCTAATTCCTAACATTTTGAGGCAATTACCTCCAAAATCAATCCCAGCCTCCCCTTTGTGGTATGGTACCTTGCAGTACAATTTCAGATAGATCCATACTCTTGAACACAAGTTGTTGTCTGGAAACTAGAAAAATGCTTATTTTTGGCCCCTAATTTCTTAACTGTTGGTACCATAATCCCCAAAATCAATCCCAACCTTCCTTTTGTGGTATTGAACCTTATGGTAAAATTTCATAGAGATCCATTTACTTAAACTAAAGTTATTGTGCGAAAACCAATGTGTCTTTGGACGACGACGACGCCAACGTCATACCAATATACGACCGCAGAAATGTTTGTGCGGTCGTATAAAAATTTAATTAATAAATCCAGGCTTCGGGTTTCTACATATTTACACATACCTTGCTTTCAAATATAAGGTTTGAGCGTTGCTAACAAGAGCGCACACGCTGAAATGTCTCGCCTGCCATTGAAAGTCGTCATATGAAGATTTTACTATGTGTCACATAAACTTAACACAATCAATGGTCCATAAAAATAAGTCAAAATGGTCAAATCAACCATGCCAGACAGACATGTACACCTTACAATCATTCCGTACATCAAATACAGAGGTCCTTTCGCTTATCGTACCTGGAAAACAGACCAAACCATAAAAAATTAACTTTGACAAAAGAATCACGAAAATGAGGTCAAAGTCATATGAACCCTTCCATACAGACATGTACATCATACAATCATTCCATCAACATTATTTAATTGACCTGTTGCTTATAGTAATTGATAAACTGACAAAATCATGAAAACTTAATGTTGTCCAATGAGCCATGAATTGAGGACAAACATGTACACCTTACAATCATTCCATACAAAAAACAGTGACCCTATTGCTTACGGTATCTGAGACATATAGACCTTGTAAAGGAACCCATATACCAAATATACTTATCCTATTACTCATAAGTATTTCATATTACAAAATAAATGGGGAATGTGTCCATGGGACACAGATGATGCCCCAACTTTCATATCATATAAAGTTATAAAGGGACATAACTGAAGAACGGTAAAAGTGACACTACCCAAATTTGTACTTGATCTGAGTTTTGTGGTTATAAGTATTGTGTATAAGTTTCATAACAATTGGTTGAGGCAAACTAAAAGTTAGAGAACGGAAACGAAAAATTCAGCATTTTTTTTCATTTGTAAAGGGGCATAACTCTAGAACGGTTGAAGTGACGCCACCAAAATTCAAACTTGATCTGTGTTTTGTGGTAATAAGCATTGTGTATAAGTTTCATAACATTTGGTTGAGGCAAACTAAAGTTAGAGAACGGAAACCAACTTTGTTACGTACGTACGGAAGGACAAGGGTAAAACTTAATGCCCCATCTGCGGGGGCATAAAAACTTCTTTTTTCAAGCAGTCACTGAACCATGAAAATGAGGTCAAAAACAATGGACATGTGACCGACGGAAACTTCTTAACATGAGGAATCTGCATACAAGGTATGAAGCATCCAGGTTTTCTACCTTCTGAAATATAAAGCTTTATACAAATAGTGTACGCCGCCCCATTGTAATCACTATGTCTCACATTCTGCGACTTTGTCGCAGGCGAGACAATAAAGGAAAATTCAGAAATGTGTCCAATGCAAAATAATAATAAAGAGGGTTTTTTTCATTATGATAAAAAGTGCAGAAAACTGATATTTTCAAGTATTTTCGATGTCCAACAAAACTTGTATAATAAGAACAACACTTAATGTTAGTCTGTAATTTCTGTAATACCCGGTTGTTATATACCATATACCTAATCAATTGATTCAGGCAGTACCATAGTTACAGAAATATGTCTGAAAAAAAAGGGCAATTTATCTTTTGATGAGAAACTGCCTTGGTATTCATGTTGGTTCAATGCCTGTCCATGTCAAACCAATGGTTTGAAAATTTGTACAATTGTATCAACTGCTTCTCTGCAAAGCACCTGTCATTCAGACTTCAGGGGAAATAGATATAGGAAGATGTGGTATGAGTGCCAATGAGACAACTCTCCATCCAAGTTACAATTTATAAAAGTAAACCATTATAGGTCAAGGTACGGCCTTCAAACACGGAGCCTTGGCTCACACCGAACATCAAGCTATAAAGGGCCCCAAAAAAATTACTAGTGTAAAACCATTCAAACGGAAAAACCAACAGTCTAATCTATATAAAAACGAGAAACAAGAAACACATATGAACTACATAAACAGACGACAACTACTGTTATCAGATTTCTGACTTAGGACAGGTGCAAAACATTTGCAGCAGGATTAAACGTTTTAAAGACTAGTAAGCTAGGAGTAGGAATAATAAGACTTGGTAGGGTGACACGTCTTAACACAAGGATGCTAAACATCCAACTCAGCATTTGTCTCTAGTACAAAAAAGGGTTCAAATTAACATATGTACCACATAAATATGCATTTATTTTGGCACTAAATGTTAAACAACCTTTCATCATCATCATTATCATCTATGGGGTGAGGGCAGGATGATGACCTGGATAAATGTTTTATGTTATGTGTTGTTGGGTATAAATCTTTTTGGTGTATTTTCCATATCACATTTCATTCACAAATTACTTTAAGTTGGGAAATGACTGTAGTTTTCAGCATAATAATAATCCTAAAAGAGTCATTATTTGTTTTACAACTTACAAATAAATAAAAAACTATGAAGAAATAAAATCAATATTTATTTTTCGGAAAGTTCTTTTCATAAAATGAACAATTACTAGATACTATTAAAATGTTCCAATTTCCAATAGAGTCTTATGTACAGTAAAAATAACAAAACATGCAAACTTAATGTTTATTTTCTCAGGCTATGTCTGCCTCTTAAAAGAGGGTGCAACAATTTTTTTATTCATCTGAATTTCCATCTAGTGAACTAGAGATTTATAATAAAAAAAATACATGAACAACCTTCTGATCAGATTCTTTGGTGAAATTAATTTATCTTCAAATTGAAGGAAAGCTTCCAAATTTGTTTATGATTATGTCAAATAACTGAAATCTGATGTAGGGTTCATTTGTTAGAAGAACCAACATATGGTGAACAGATTTTGTCTTTGTATATATTAGAGCCTTTAAATTTAGCTGAAGTATTCCATTTTGGGGGATACCATTGAAAATGGTCATCTAAAATTATCATGCTTAGAATTTTCTACCCTATATTAAAAACCTGCAAATTAGTTATAAGCGCTATTCATTGTATTTTAAAGTTGATGTTTTATTTAAAAATAACAGTAAACAAGAAAGAAACAGAAAAATACACAATTAACACCATCTCAAAATTTAACGACCTGAGAAAAAACATATATTTTGCCAAACCTAGAAATTTTTCTTACATTCATATTAAAGCTTGAAATTATCTATCTAAGAAATTGAAATGCTTAAGTATTCCTTCAAAGACCAAAGGGACGGAATCGTCTCTTATGAAATAATGTCTTCTTTTCTAAAGATAATTCAAATTAAACTCTATAAAAAGTAAAAAATTTCAGACTTGATCTACATACTAGGGCTGGTGATGTAATATGGAACAATTTATACTGTAGGGAAATTCACACCAGCTGAAATTAAAGTGGAGGTAACAACACCAGCCAAAAAGGAGGTAACAAAAATAAATTTTACAATCTCTACATAAGAATATATATAAATCTAAAGAACTAAGAAAAATACTAATTATTTTTTAAAAATTTAAAATAAAATATGTATTTGGAAGAATTCAATCCCTAATCAAATATATATATATATATAATGTGAAGTCTAAAAATTTCAAAACAAACTTAATCCATTTTCATTTCACAGTTTATTTGTTTTTCCTCTTTTATAAACATGTAATATATTTCTCGAATTAAGAATCATTCAGTTATAAAAATTCGGAGACAAACAAAAGTTAAAATACTGAAGAAGAAAAAACAATGAGTGTATTTCCATGATAAAATGCATACAAATGTATAGCATAAATGAAAAATTAAGTAACCATGGTTACACTGGAAGAGAAAATTGGACAACCTACATTTTTTTTATAGAAAAGGAATGATTAAGTTAATGGAATATATTGTATCAATATCCTATTTTCTAATAACTACAATCTCTAAATTTAAACTAAAATTGCCTGTAAGTATCCGTTCTGGAGATTCAAACTTTAAAAATAAATTATGCAATCTCGATTACATTGTACAAAAAAAAAATGATTAAACCATATAAGACTTGCATTAAACTTGATATGTCAAACTGAATATATGATTTTAATGTACAAAAACCCGAGTTCTATGGTATATAACTATATATAAAATTACAAAATTGCACAATGAGCAAAAATAAGCATTTCTATTATTATACTACAATCTGATTCATTTGCAAACTTTGTCTATCAACTTCTGTTACCAGTAATTGTAAAGATTTGACACTGGAAAAATAATTCATACAAATTGTTTAAATGCTTTCCATATTCATGAAATTTTCTAATAGGGGCATGCAATGAATCAGGAATATTATTTTCTTACCACCCTCAATGAAGATCATTAAAAAATTTAACATTGTGAACATTTACAATGTTATATATATAATTTACAATAGCTGATTTGATTAATACGTTTTCGTCCTTTATTTCATAAATTTTTTTAAAATGCCTTTGAAAAGTTAGACAATAATAAATCCATACTGTATAATTATTCCAATTCTTGTAAAAAATTCAGGTACAAATCTCCTTTTTTTCGTTGTGTCTTGAGATTCAAATGTTGGTTAATTCAAGTTTTCAGCTGTTTCAAAATGTGTCTTCTTTCTTTTCACAAAAAAACTATTGAATCATGGGAAATTCCATCTCATTCAACTAAAAAATTATTCCAACGGATGGAATGTGGAATAACCCATGATTCCATAGTTAAGTGTCATTTCCTGTTTACTTCATGGCTGTTAATGGTTCTTCGACATCACGTGGGGTATTTCTGTATGGCTTGTGTTTGTAGTAGTTGTATGAAATGCAGAGGATAACCAGGAAAACACAGGCTAGACACAGGCCGACTACAACTCCTATAATGACAGTCTGTTGTCTTTCTCCTGCTACATCTGGATGTTTGTAGTTTGATTCTACAAAAAAAGAAAATAAACAAATGGTTATGTAATCAAAGGAATGTCTTGACAACCAAGGAAAAACAGATTTTGAGAAACTCTGCACAGGGGACAACCATACATTTCTGTGAAATGTTTGAGTTAATGGTTAAATTTTGTCTTTTGGTTTATTTTATTGCTTGTTTGTTGTGCCCCATATCTCTTTTAATTATAACAGAAGACACTGCAGTCCGTTAAACTGCAAAATATTTTCAAATATAGTGCTCTGTTAAAAACTGCAAAAAAAGGCAACCATGCCTGTTAAAGAACCTATGAAAGAATATGACCATTTGCAGAATATGAATACATAACATCTATAAATCACTTTAGAAACATTACCATCATCTGTGTATCCTGTTACTCTAAGTCATATCATGGTCATTTATTTTTGTTGTATGTGATGACCCTCTATCCCCTTAATTTAGCTTTCTGCTTTAATATATATCACATACATAAAATTGCCTTCATGAAATTTCTTTTAAACAAGATTAAGTACTTGTTACATCATTGAGGTTGGAATGAAGAGAAATACCTGGAATATGTGAGTGTAGGACCTAAACACAAAAACCTATTTGTATTTTTGAAGAACTGTTGAAAAATTTCTATAGAACATTGTAATGATTGAGAAATGAAGTTCTTCGATTAAAAAAAAAACCAACACAAAAACAGCAGCTATATACATGATAGATTTAAAATGGATTTGTCACTCTTTTGTTTATCAATGGTACAAGTATGAGTACATGTATATAAAACTATATATATTTTTGAAAAAATCAATAATTACCTATTATTACAAGCATCAATCCAATAAATAATACATCCTTTCAAGATTATAATAGTTTCTGACAATAGGTGTCAGGGGACTGAAACTAATCAATATTTTATAATTTAACAGGAACTTTTTCCATAACTGCTGGGAAATACTAAAATATTGTGTTTGGATTTAGTATAATTTGCTAGAAGTTTAAAGTAAGTGAAATCATATATATGTATTTATAATTGTGTTGAATACTGCAGTAAACTTCAAACAGTTCCTTTTCTCATCTTCACTCAAAAATAAAAATTGTAAAAACATGTAACCCTAAATAAATTGTAAATGTTTCACACAGTCAATGGGAGATAACTCTACATTTTTCTCTATGTAGCACATGTTTGAATAAAGTGAATAAACTGAGATAAAAAGGCAGGAAGGTTATGGAAAGCAAAAAATCCTGCACTCCAATTCCCACATTTTGAACATATTGAACACTATGTTTAAAACAGTGATCAATATATATGTTCTACACAAAGAGGGTTGGTGGTCAGAACTGGAGTAATCAAAATGGCTATCTACCATATATTGGGATATTGTCACTGGTCATATTTTTGTATATTTAGTCTCCTATAATTTCATTGTTAAATTTAAATACACCATGATAAAAGTTAAATGCAAAAATATTGGTTATGCATGTTGCTGACAAATTCTTTTAAGTTTATATTCATTATTAAGAGTTTTTATATACAGGTAGTCTTTCAATTTTATTTTTGAATGTTGGCAGAAAAAAACCCACATAAAATGAACAGTTAAACATCTATTTCACTTGTTTCTGATTTAATGAGAGTTAACTTACTAATCTTATTATCTTCGTCGCAGTATATTGCTGGAATGATGGTTGACAGAATAAATACCAAACAGCTCTCTAATGAAATCATCTTGACAATATGTTTTCTGTGCAAATCTGGAAAATCAATATAAAGTCCTGGTTATTTTCAACACTCCCATTTTTGAAATACTAAATTTTCCATGTGCACTCTGTGCTAGTGTTATAAGGTAACAACTTATAAAATGCCAATGAAACTCCTGGTAAAGTATATATAGTAACAAATAGTAGTAAAATTAATTTTGATTCATGATTGTGTTGTTCGGTTGCTATTTCATTGACATTTACATACACAACATCTCCTTTTAATCATCTTATCTGTCTAAATGCAAAATAAATATTATGTTTCATGTATTATGCAGTTTTTTTCAGGAATTAATTTCTAGAAAACATTCTTCATTTTTTTTTGAATTCAGTGTGTTTGCCCAGACATGTGTCATTTTCAGGTACTCTTTCCAATTAAAATCCTTTTCAAATTGTTTTCCTCACGTACATTGTAGTGCTTTGAATACAATACATTATTTAACAGTTACATAGTTATCTTGTCCAAATAGAAAATTCAATCAAATCATCATCTTTAAGGTTAAGTAACCTACAGACCTTTTCAAAGGGGAAGTCTTGATGACTACATCATACATGTCATAATCTTGTAAAACTTCATGACAGTACAAAAGAAACCTGCATATGCAAAAAAAACTTGATATTCTGGTAGTATGATGTCAAATATGGATCTTTGTTTATAACTTTTATATAATACATGTACAATTTGAATTGTTCTGTTGACAGGATAAATATACACAAATTTGCAAAAATTTCCCATGGGGATTTAGGCCGAATTTGGCAGTAAATTTTATAATGGCCTTGGGTAACTGAGCTCCTACACATTCTTAAGACTGTGATGTTTGCCATAAGATGATACGGCCATATCCAGGATGGGAACATGTTAAAAATAAGAATCCAGGTATGTACTAGAACGACACTTAGTATGATTTTAAACATACTAATTCACAAAGTAAGAGTCTGTAGGAAGACACGTAACCTGACCTGGACAGGTCATTCTGACTCAGAGAGATGACCAGTCTGCCAGTTCATTTTTGTACTCCTAAATACAAGTGCTTAACGGAATTTAAAACCTAAGATCTTCCAACACTTGAGGTGAACACGCTTCGAAGAGACCACCAAGCATTATTTTAGCCAAAAGCCATATAACAGAGTTCTTGAAATCTTTTTTTCCCTGGTCACACATTTGTGGTCCTTGATAAAAATCTGCTGGTCCTAACTATTTATGTCAGTCCTTTGCAAAACTTTTGTGGTAAGGACCTTTGGACCACCACTTTTTGAGAACTCTGGTATTATTGTAATGAGTGTCGATGAAGTGAAGAAAATTTATTGCAAGGTGAAAATCTGAACTTCTACAGATAGTTTGCAAAAATGCTTTTGGATCTGGAAATATACCCCCCACCATATAATAAATACAAAGGTATGTGACTTTCAGTGCATACAAAGTGTATAAATTCAAATCCTTATTTTCTTAATCATAGTATACATGTATATATTCACATGATGATAATATGAAATCTTAATTTTTATTCCAAACATGTAGAGATCAACGAACTGCAATACTTCTTTTGCTATTGCATATTTTCTTGCATTAAATTTTGATAAATGTACAGGTAAAACTGATGACAAAACACATGTCTCTGACTTGCACCTGTGTTACATGTAAATTAATTTATGCAAATTTAAAAGTCAATGCACTGTTACTGAGGGTGGCAACAGATTATTTACAAGGGAATGTGCCATTGGAAATACAACTGTCTACCATATTACTTTGACTTTCTATTTTTGATTCCACTTAAAGTGACCTTATCTAATGACAAAATCTTACAATGATAGACCCTACCAATACCTGAAACAGCAAAGTCTTGTCTCTGCAACTTGGTCAGTGGTGGGTCCAGGGGGGTGTTCCAGGGGTTGGTACCCCCCTTTTTTTTGACGATCAATGCTTTTGAATGGGGACAAATGGTTGGAACCCCCCTTTATCCTGGGTTGGAACTCCCCCTTTTAAAAATGGCTGGATCTGCCCATGTTGGTTGAGGTGAGACAAAAATGAAACTTCTGGTAACATACATCATATTTGAGATCAATAAAACAGGTGGATACACCAGGTATAAAATGCATTATCTAATCAATATAAGGAGTTCAAAATCCTGTGGCAGAATGCTTATAAATCATTTCTTCAAAGTATTGTCATTAAATTTTCTTAAAGTATATACATGTTTATCAATTAAATGTTACCCAGTTACCAGTTGAGGATCCCCAATTGCACGTAACCATACATGATTATTTCACAATACATGTACAATGTATGTATATTTTTTAAAGCACTCAGGGACCCAATACAATTTACTTCATCATAAAATTGAGAATGGAAATGGGGAATGTGTCAAAGAGACAACAACATGTTCATGAAAAAAACATATCAGTGAAGTTTCGTTTATAAGTAATTTGCTATATTTCAAAACTTTAATTGGATGAGAGATAGGTCATCAATGATAGGGGGCAAAGTATATTTCTTGAATGGTTTGTTTATGGCATCATTTGCAGCGATAAATACAGTAAACTGAACACTAGAAACATTATATAACCAGACAGATATTACCAAGGTCCACCTTCTTAATCATGCTCATAAAGCAGCATAAAATAATTTTTTCAACTTGAGACACGACTAATTCGTTTACGAACCCCAATACAATTGATTTGATTTGATTTGATTATGGCAAGTGACCAGATTTTTGCCAATAGAAATTCTAACACATCAGATGGAAATTTTACAAGCCTAGGCAGGTGGGCCTGTAGGAAGATCTGGACTGCAGACAAAGGAGTTGGAGTCTTCGTTAATTAATAATTCTATAAACAGAGAATTTAAGGTACTGGGGCTCTTTTTACAAAAATATCTTACGACTTAAATTGATCTTAAGATATAAGATTTTTTGTGAAAATTAACAGCTATAGGACACCGTACGGCCTTCAACTATGAGCAAAGCCCATACCGCATAGTCAGCTATAAAAGGCCCTGAAATCACAAATGTAAAACAATTCAAACGAGATAACTATCTGCCTAATTAATGTACAAAAAATGAACGAAAAACAAATATGTAACACAGCAACAAACGGCAACCACTGAATTACAGGCTCCTGACTTGGGATAGGCACGTACATACATACAGAAAGTGGAGGGGTTAAACATGTTTTAGTGCCAAAGCTGACTACTGAGCTGATGATATCCTTTGAGACTAGCAGCCCAACAGCAGCATAATCCATACAGTGTTAGAAAATGAAATTAATACTCCATAAATTTAATGCATTGGAATGTGTATTCAGAACTACATTTGTCATGTTTGTTGATCATGTAAACTTGATGTCAGTGTAATAAAATTATGACACAGAAGTTCATTGTTATCAATGTGGACAATGTTAGAAGTATGTCTTGGTACAAACAAATTTTTTCAAGAAACATATGGAGTGTGGACATTTTAAAGCACTTTTCCTTGTGGCACAAAAAAATCTAAGACACGTGTATACATGTACATTGGAAAATAAGACTCCCCCCTTTTAATTAAAACCTTTTTCCCCTTTTTCAATCGAACAAATATATTAAGCTAGCTTAAACATTTCTTTTGAGCGATAATTGTGAACAGGACATGATATCGCCGCATTTATATGCTGTGTAATAACCAATGTAAATGCGTTACGACATTTTTACAAGTATTTTGACTTTGGTTTGACCTAATAAGTACGTCTAGAGGTCAAATTTAACATCCAAACTTAGAATTTTGCGTGTCATTATGTACATGTTACTCACCTGATTTCAAACAATGAAATATTAGCAGGTTAATTATGCTTATCAATATAAAAAAATATACCTGAAGATTATATCAACGCGTCAGTAGGTAAACGCCACACACTGTTCACTGCTTGCGGATTTACACACCAATTTGTGTACTTGTTTCGTATTACAAATACTATTGAGGCACCCGAGGGTTTAATAAATCTTAACAGGGATTACAACATAATTAAAAAGAAAATCAAGAAACAAGTTGGTATACCTTTAAGGCAAAATAGTCCATGGAATGCCCTCATTTCAAAAACAATAGACAGTTCAATATATAAATTTGCACGGTATTTCCGTCCGTTTACCTTGTTTTAGTTACTATTGATCTTTACATTTAATAATTACCAAATTTCAAATGTATGTTTAAGATTATAAAGATGACATTAATCCTTTAAAAATAAATAGAGCTCTAACTAATGATGACCTGTATAGATAATACACAATGGAACTAATTGGCAGAAGTTTTTCAAAATATATATGAATGTAAAAGAAGTTTTAATTAAACTGTTTAAAAAAGACAATAACATGTATCATCAGAAAAGTATTTAAAAAACATAGTTAAAATTCCCAGAGGCGGATTCAGGGGGTTTTCCATGGCCCGTGCCCCCTTTTGTGGGAATAATTTGGTTGATTATTTAGGGAATCACTGAAGCATGACTGGAGCGGGCCCCCTCTTAGGCAGTCAGTGCCCCCCTTAAGAAAAGTTCTGGATCCGCCACTGTAATATACTACTACAAAATATTGTGTTTCAACTTTGTGACAATACTTTAAGCACGGAAACAAAATAAATTTGTAATGATGTATGTTGAAGACTGTGAATACCGTTCAAAGGCACTTGTCTCTGAAAAAAATCCTATATACCATAATATAACACAAGGTCTGAGCACAAGGTACTTAACTCGCATTTTTTTAAAATGTTACCCGGTCACGAAATTCCGTTATGTTGCGATTTCTCGGTTGTCAACCCCACTAAAACTTATGCTGTAAATCTAAATTGATTTATCTACACAATGGTGTATAACTAGCCTACCTCTTGTTGTCGCAATCATTCGTAGCAGGCCTCCCCAAGTATATCAACCGTAATTATTTCGTCCACCTTAAGCTTGAAATAGGAGAAGATATTTACTACGTCACTTCCAAAATATCGGATTATCTAATTTAATTAAAATATAGAACTCGGATTTCGTTATACTACGTATAATATAATTAAAATATAGAACTCGGATTTCGTTAGATTGCAAAATATCAACAGTCGACTCAATGCTATATATTACTTTTTTGAGAGACAGACCTGTTGCCCAGACGCGCGTTTTGTCTACAAAAGACTCGTCATTGACGCTCGAATCAAAAACGTTAAAAAACCCAAATAAAGTACGAAGTCGAAGAGCATTGAAGACCTAAATTCCTTAACGTTTTGCCAAATACGGCTAAGGTAATCTTTTCCTGGGGTAGAAAATCCTTAGCATTTCGAAAAAATCAAAGTTTTGTAAACAGTTAATTTATAATTATGACCATAGCATTGCTAATTCATGTCAACACAGAAGTGCTGACTACTGGGCTGGTGATACCCTCGGGGAGAAAAACTCCACCAGCAGTGCCATCGACCCAGCGATCGTAAATAAACTCATCACAGATAACAGGATTGAAATTGTGTACTTCAGAAGCGCGTTTCGTCTACAAAAGACTTATCAGTGACGCTCGAATAAAATAAGTTTAAAAGCCAAAATAGAATAAAAATTACAATCAGAATTAGAAGAAGAAAAGTAGTTACCAAAATTAATAAAAAAACAGAGCTCCGTTAAGAGCAGTGACTGTCTATGCTAACAGATGTACTAATTTAAATACTCCGCTATGAATTGATTTTGGATGCCTTTTCCCTGTTGGAGTGAAGCTGCAACAGTCTGCGACAATAAAACAGTACATATACAATAAGAAGATCAACTGATCTGGAAGAACAATAAAGAGTACTGAAAAAAATACAAAATCTTAAGCCAAAGCTTAGCAGGTAGGTGTTGCAAGGCAAAATGTCTGTCCCTATCAAATACACCCTCGTTTTCCAGTGACATTCCAGATTTCCCCGACCTTAATCCTGGACGGCCTCCATTACAGGACCTACCTATTGTATTTTTTTCTCGTCCTGAACATGCATGAGATATTTGCCACTGGACGTTAAGCAACCAACAATCAATCAATCAATGTATTGATAATGAGATGTATATTTAAGAAAATGGAAAGACGAGAACCTTCAGTCAGTGTAAAAAAAGACAATTTGCTGTAAAACGAAATATCCGATGTTCAGACCTACATTATAAAGCAGATTGGAAAAAAATCCTTTACTTAGTTCGACATCGCCTATATTAAAACATTCATGAAAGCGCTGTTTTTTCGACAAACTCCCCGTCTCAACGAACCGGAAGGCCCTTGCATATCTGCATGAGTCTATAAATAATTTAGTGTTGTCAATTAGGATTAACCGGTTAACCGTTAGAAGGACCGAATATCGAATACCAAAAACGCTAACCGGTTAACCAGATCTGTTTTTTCAATTTAATAGATTTGATATAAAAGTGTATTGAAATCAATAATGCATTTTGTTGAATTTTAAAATGATCGACATGCTACTTAAATTTGATAGAACAATTGTCCAGTATATTGATTACCATTGTTTACCTTTGAAAACATTCAAGTTTCAAAAAAATAATTAGCACAAATACAACTTGTCTATCAGCTCGGGGCAACCCCTTAAGTAAACATAATTAGCATACATGTATTTTGAACAGTTATAATCTGATTGAATTTTATGATTAACTTCATAGTGTCACTTTGATTATATATTGTGTTGACCAACATTCAAATATGTCATCTACATCGTCCAAGGCAGAGTTATTCTATAAACGAAATGCCGACTCAAAAATAGTATAATGCAAATTAAGGGATAGGAAATAATGTACACTGTGTGGTACGAGTAGCATGCTTTATCTACTCAAATTGAAATACTACATAGAAATTTCTGGGAGACACCAGAGAAAATGAAACGATCACCATTTTTTACACTTTGTCAATTCGCCGAGATCAAGAAGATTTTCATCTTCTCAATCTGAATGAAGGTATTACGAACGCATATGGTAGTATTGAATAATTATAAGTAAGAATTCACCAGTAATGCTCAAAGCCAAGCCTTATAATGCACAAACATAACTTCAATTCGTCGTACCAAAAACCGTGTATTTGTAGAGTACTGTAATTAAGACATATAAATATTAACTTTACTACCGGTTAACCGATTATGCGAGTAAGCGATTATGCGAGTAACCGGTTTGGCAAAACTGTTTGATTTTACAACACTATAATATAAATATACATATAACTGAGTTAGAGACAAAGACTATAGTATATGATCCCTCTAATAAAAAGTGATAGTGAAAGAGGCAGGAAATGTATACCCACAAAGTGCAAGAAAAAATAAAAAGAGAAAAAGATCAGAAAAGGGAAAAGGGAATATAATAACCAAGCACGTCCGCGGTCATATAACCTTAACTGTCAAACTGCTCTTGGGAAAATTCTTTAAAATCTAGGTTGTGTTAACGTTGCAATCCCATTTTTCATGGTATCTAGTGCTTATGTTTTATCTTGCATTTCAGTCTTTTCTTTTTTCTCTATTTCTTTTGCTCTCCCTTTCAGTTGACGCGTTCAGTATTGTAAATTCTATTGTAATGATTTTAATTTTGCATCAGAGTGAGGTGGGTAGCGCTTATTAAGATTAAAAAAGAAGAAGATCCAATTTACACAAAGTGTATAACCATAGCTTCTATAAAACTCCACCTGTAATTTTCACCTGATGGACAAACAAATCGGTTCCTTCCAACAATCAAAAATATAGCTGATGGTGTATCAAATTAGTACTGGTGCTGCGTCTTGCCAATGTTTAACATAGTTTTACATTTTATAGTAAAAATTATGTCAGATATAAAATATATGTCTGAGAACCCCAAAGACTATATAAACGGCTCCCGAACTTTAATTAGATATATTAATAGATAACCCATGAACTTTTTTTATAGACAATTTATATATGTATACCTTGAATAGTCGGGCCATTACGTTCCAGCGAAGTTAAGGTAATACTTCATTTGTATATAAGCCTTTAAAATTATCCCAAGAAACATTTTCTAGATCTCCCCCGCTTACTCAGCGTTGACAAGCATAGTAGATATATTGAAATGTTAGGCTATGGACCATCAAGATCAATCATTAACCTTTGACAATGGAAGTTCACCACTGTAACCAATTTTTAAAGTTAGCAAAATTAATTGCCAAATAACTTGTCAATGTGGATAAAATATCCAGATTGTAAACTTCGGTTTAAAATGTGAACAAGAACCCAAACATCATATAGGAACACATAATAATCACGGGCCATCTTTTACAGTAAAAGTGTAGGTCTATATTCACTATCAGTATATAAAGGTAAGCTAATAACATGAATAATATAATCATTCTAGGTACGATAATGTACGGCAAGGAATTGTATATACGAAACTTGTCATCGCGCTTGTGTCTGCTTCCTTCCCGTGCCAGTTCGGATTGCGACCGGACCCCGTTCATGTTACATGCAATGCAGAAGTCCAGTTGTGATTTCCTCCGAGAAGTCTGGTATTACTATATCATACTAGGTTTAATCTGTTTACCCGTATGAAGGACATTTCGCTACAAAGACACCCGAATTCACAAGAATATGCTGACGTATTAGTAAGATAACTGACGAAGTTCAAGATTGGGAATGACTTCCTTTTGAACTCCCCTACCATTGACGGAATATCCATAGACATACATGAAGGAGGGGAAAATAAAAAAGATCATCATGAGTTCTGCTCAAAATTGACGTTTGGAGAAAGATGTTTTAGTGACACGTAATACATTTTTCTATATATGTATGTATATCATCCACATGATATCCACCTTTTACGAAATTAAATGAAAAAGATCGATGCTTTTAAAATGTTTATCTCTGAGAAAAAACTGAATGGGAAAATTTATATTTATTCAGTCATCATTTCAATACTTGTCTTCTATTTTTTCGGTACTAAAAGAAACTGCAGTCCCAATAATAAACCCAACGTGTCCTCACAGCTAACCGTGACCTTTATTTATGTTTAACAGGGACAATGTTACCTGTTCAAAACATTCACGATCACTGGTCATGGTGGTGTTTGTGGTTCACTGAATACAAACGAAAAGGTGCTCTATATGTATATAACTCTTTTTTTCATCTTTTCAAAATCCGATCATATATTTTCAACAATGAGGCGAGTATAAAAATTGATAGACTTAAATTTGAATAAGTCGAATGTTGACGGAAATATGAGGATCTGGATGGGGGGGGGGGGGGGGGGTCCTTCGTTTCAGTATTCTTATTTTTCTAGGCCATTTTCTCTATTCTTTATACTTTTTGCCCATTATTCTCTATTCGTTATATTTTACAACCTCGTTATCATCTATCCTTTATTTTTTGGGGTCCATTATTTTTCTCTATTCTTTATAATTTTTTGCCCATTATTCTCTATTCTGGAAACCCCCATCCACACCCTCATACATGAAAATGGGATGTGGAGCCGGAAAAAGGGGGGGGGGGGGTAGGGGTTGTTTAAAGGAATATAAAACTTTTCTTTCAATGAGAGATGGGATGCGATATATCGGATCTAGCATTCGACGGTTTGTATGGATAATTTTTTTTTTCATTTTACGTTTGTTTGGATTCGAGCAGAAATCTTCAAAATCGTAATATCGTTTCGTGTTTTACGTTTCTTTGTTTCTTCTTCACATAGAAATTGTACGTTTTCTATATATACGTCCCACAATTTTGAGGCATACAAGTATCTATTTGGCCATAAATACCTCACAATCTACAGTAAATTATTTTTTTAATAAACCAAATAAACACATCGGTATATATTATCACAAAACAATCCGATTTGAATTACTGTACGTGAAACGCACAATAGAATGGTAGAAGTACTTATATATTTATCCGAATCAGCTGTTTTGTTATCTTGTTTTATCTTTAATAATCGATTCTAAGAAGTCACTGATAAGAATATCAATATGGCAATTATATGTTAAAATCGATATCCTATGATAAGCACATTATCTATTGAAGGTTAGCTCGAAAATAACCTCTCCAACAGCCCAAAAGGTATTTTGAAGGAAAACTGATAAAATGTTATCTTTTTGTTTAAATCACACATGTATAAACAAAGCCACATTTAATTAACTCGGCTTCCTTTACTGTTATCACTACCTATATCTTAAATAGTATAATAATTCCTGTTCCATTTGGACATTAGTCAAAGTCAATTGTTCGATGACAAGGTGAAACAGTGTGTTATGAGTGAGATATATCCCGAGGACTACTTGAAACAGAGGTGACCTTCATAGGTACATCCGCTAAATTACATATAGGACAGGGAAACTTTAAGGTAAGTTTAATTTTCTTAATCAACATCTTCGATCTCTCAATTTTCGTTTGTTTATCTGGTTTTCTTTCGGTGAGCTCTTTCCATCGATCTATCTTGCATTCTTTCTCTGCCACTTAAGAGTTCTAAGATAGAAATATATGAAAAACAGCTTATTATAAGTGCAATAGACTACCATGACAAGTAAGAACCTTTCGCGGGGCATCGTTTAGCTGCAAGGTATGTATAAATATATAAAATGCCTAGTCGAAATGGGACCGTCAAATCTGATGCCTATAGTGTTCAGAGAGTACATCGCTCTCCGTTTCAAGTAAGATCTCTTTTCAAAAAGTCCTACCATATGAGTCGCAGATGACTTTTTACAAGATAGCGATGTAGCACAAATGTCCGCTGAATTTTTTCACTCACAGATTAATAAATCAGAAAGTAGAAGGTCCGGTAAGGGCCAATTTGGGCCTAAAATTCGAAGTACATCTGATGAAAGATTTCTGACATTTTTTGAACACTCAATTGTCTACTTCAGTACATTCAATTAGTTTAAGTAAAAGATTTGAACCAATTTTGTCATTAAGTCGCTCAAATTCAAGCTTAGGTATGAAAAATCTATCAAATATGCCATAAAACGTCACTTTTCAGATGGTTTTTGTCTAAAATGGAAGTGGCCTCATTTGTGTTCAGTCTCAACATTTTTATATGTCATGTATTATCGATCATAAATACAACATTTTTTAAATATTAAGACTGAAAACAAGTGCGGCCACTTCCATTTTTAGACACAAATTGTCTAAATTAGCACAAACGCTAAAATTGTGAAGAAGTTTCAGTATTTTTGCATGAAATAATGATACTTGTGGCTGATGCATGACCATTGTATTGTCAAAAAAATCCTCATATTTATGTGACAAAAGTATTCTACTTTCCAATAAATCATAGCTAAAAGTTGACATTTTCAACAACTTTGTAAAAACGCTATATTTTGGGGCCAAAAAGGGGTCTTACCCGGCCTACTCCTTTGTTAAAACCTACTGAAATTTGAATATCAAAGATTTTTATTAATACACCTGAAGGATTTACAACACTTTTACACCTATCCGTGAAGTCAAAGTATTATTAAGCACTATATAATGTTGTTGGAGATAGTTTTGATTATTTATAATTCCAATTGGATATATGTCCAGAAATACGGTATAGTTTTGTTAGAAAACAAGTAGTTGTCATACTGTGAGTTTGAAAAGTTTGAAATATCTTTTGAAAATAGCCCTTGTGTGGAATAAATACTGCGGAAATCGGTCTAACTTCTTTTCAATGCGTTCTGAACATGGCCCCATATCCAATTGTAATGCACAATTTAAAGAGTTTTCTCCTAGTTCGTTATGTTCTTAAAATATGCTCCCTTGATTAATTGTATAATTTGTCTCCGTCCTGGATATGCATAAATTGTTTGTCTTTGGGCGTATATCAAGCAATCATCATCCAGTTTCTCATTCTCTCTGTTTCTCGTTGAATTGGAAAATTAATAGCTGAGATTAAACAACTGGAACCAAGATTTGAGATAAGGGGACGAAACCCAAAGACTGTCGCCGATCGAAGCGAGGAAAAACAGTTTTTGAAGGTTTTTTTTTATATACCAAAAATGGTGTTCATTCCGTATTTAGGGGACTCACGCAATCTGTCATGGCCCTGTTTTGAATCCGCCGCTGCATGGAAACTGAAAGTCCTTTCAATCAAATATGTTGTACTTAAAAGTGAATCCAAAGGGAAATCATTAACTGTATTAGGTACAGTAATATAAAATAAGGAGAAGATGTATGGTTACAAATGAGACAACAATATCTAAATATCGTGGATTTAAGCAATTTCTAATGTTTGTAAATAAACATGTGATATTGATAATGGTAACGCGACAGATACAGGATGTATTTTTGCAAACAGACTCGACAAATTTTGAAAAATAATACTTGCTGTGAATTTTACCAGAGTCTAGTAATGGACTTCTGATATTATCTAATGATTGGCGAACTTTAAACATACATGTGTTTCACAAGCAAGTGGATTTAATATCTATATTGATATTTTTCTAATAGATAATTAAACATAAATTCTATAGTACATTGTAATTGCATAACTTCAGATAGTACATGGGAACATGCAAAAATCAAAAAATCATTGGACATTTTTAATTAAGTAAATTGCAAGCCGAGTTGGTTAAATCAATAACCAGGAAGAAATTTAATGTTTTTTGTTGACATAAAACAGCATTATTCAAGTTAATACTATGTCAGGGATTTTTACATTTTCAGGTAAAATTTACGATTTTTATTGAATTTCCAAATGAAACGAAAACCCCTGCATGTTCCCCATAACCCTAGGTTATTGTCACAAGTGACAGAGAAGGCAAACAAATGGCTTTATATTGACCAGTAAACAATGGCAGATAAAATAAGTTGTGTAATATTACAAGTTTGTTATGACAAGATGTAAAACTATTATTTATGTTTTACAACTTGAGAAAGGCTGAAAGGTTGGTTGACATTTCTTGTGGTTATAATTTTGCTTGTACACACAAAGATACACATATTTTTTTTCATTTATACAACACATTATAACACATTATAACACATTTATACACATTATAACACCGTTTATGTTATTTTAATTTTCGTTTTCAGTCTTTACAGCATTATGGTTCACTCAAAAGTCAATCAAACTTTATCATGGTCATAGTTTAACAGAAAACATAAATGTCTCCGATTTGTTACGGATAAAAATATATGAAGTCAAAATAATATCATTCAAAAGATATAATTTTTTTTGACATTTTACTACGTTTTACAATTTGTATTTGTTAAATAGTTATATATTTGTATATATAGTGTCTCATAAGCCTGTCTAGGCTGGGTATTTGTCTTATTTTATTGTTATGCAATGTATTTTATATAACCTGTATAAAAATCTGTAGACAAGTATGTGACACTTTAATAAAATAAATTATTATTATTATTATTATAATATTTTAGTTTTGACAGAATTAAAGAGAAATGAAAACAATTAGTACCTTATTCATTCTTTCCTTTGTTCCTATAGCAGTCTCAGCTTTGTTCAAATCGTTAAATTATCTGTTTCTTGCCATTATTGAAATGTCATAGGAATGGATAATCTTTTAAATTGTAATACAATGGAATTATGAATCAGGAATTAATATTTCGGCGATTTGCCTTTCACAAAGACTAATATTTCTGATATAAAGTCCGACAGGTAAATTAGAAAAAAACAACAAAATATTTCATAAAAAATTTCTCTTTTTGTTACAGTTTCGGAAGTCAGTATTCGATGGGTTATGATTATCATAACCCATGGAATACTGACTTCCAAAATTATGAGTTAAAACCTAGTAATTTAAATTTACTCCCCAAAATTTATGAAACTAAGAAGGTACACCGAAAGTTAACGACATTTTCCTTAACAAATGATTTATCTATTTATTTTGAAAACAATTTATTCATTGTTTTTGTACAACTGGGAATAGCTTCCAATGTTATGTGATGTAACTTTTGTAACTTTTTAAGATGGTTTGGTTTAAATGTAATTACTAATTTTCAGAAAGATAAAACGAGATGGCAACTTTTACCCTACTGGTTTCTGCTATTGTTGTTGTAATGTGTCATGCAAGCAAGGAAGGTAAGAAACGAATTAGAGTTACCGCTCTTTGACCGAGACTAATAATTTTGTGAGTGTAAAATACAAACTAAATGTACAGTGACAAGAAATGAGGGTTTTCTTTATGCCGGACAACATGCCTGATCGAAGAAAACAAGTTTACGTATTAATGACTGGATAATACACGAAGACAGAATACTTCTAAGAGACTGAACAAACCAAGAAATTTAATAATCAAACTGGCGCCTTTTTTGAATAAATTTAGCCTCATCTACAGCTATTTAAAAAAAAAAAAGATTCGGAATTGAAAAAAATGCAATCCGACAAAACAAGACTTTTTCGGACTCTAGCATATGCAGGTCTACGTAACGTGACCTATAGTTGTTAACTTCTATGTCATTTGGTCTCTGGTGGAGAGTTGTCTCATGGCTTATTCTTATTTTTATATCTTCCTTCTTATCTATATAAGCTGATGCAGAAATCGTATTAAGCATTACACATGTCTTATATATAAAATCAATTAGGTGTGTTGTATACGTCAAAGATACAGGAACCTAACGATACAAAACAACAAGAAATTCTAGAGGTCATCATACTGTCTTAATTGAATTCTAGAGGTCAACATACTGTCTTCATTGAATTCTAGAGGTCAACATACTGTCTTCAATAAGAAAAGCAGATGTATACACTATAGCAATGTCTGATTCATTCCGAGTCTAAAACAATGTTTATGAATAAAACAAAATCTTTTCAAAAAATCTTCCATAACATAGAATTGTCCAATTAACAAATAAGCAAACAAAAAATAAATATATCACGTTATGCATTAACGATGTTAGAGACTAAGTACAGACACATGAATAGGTTAGAGACTAAGAACAGACACATGAATAAGTTAGAGACTAAGTACAGCCACATGAATAGGTTAGAGACTAAGTACAGACACATGAATAGGTTAGAGACTAAGTACAGACACATGAATAGGTTAGAGACTAAGTACAGACACATGAATAGGTTAGAGACTAAGTACAGACACATGAATAGGTTAGAGACTAAGTACAGACACATGAATAATTATCCCTCTGGTATCTTTCGTCCCTCTTTTATGTTGTGGGTATGAATGACACTTTTAATCCATTTTCTATCTAAAACCATAATTTGTTTGTAAAAAGATGGTATAATACTGTTTTAAAGCATTACTAGAAAAAAGGTAATCAGTTACAAAAAAAAAATGTTACTTTTTCAGAGAATATGGGTTCTGGGTCTACATCGTGTGGAAAAAGTATAATTCTCCCCAAGGAAGACCGACTCAGCATTTACTCCAAAGGTAATGCTAAGGGTGGATTTTGTAGTATCCTGCTCCACGCTATGGAGGACACCTCAGCTGACTGTCCCTACAGATCTTTCTGTGTTGCTGTAACTCAGATGTCAATGTCTTCATGCTCTGCAAAGATTTTCTTAACAGGAACGTCTTACGATGTAATTGGAATCAAGTCTAAGGTTGGTGAAAATGTACAAAACTGAAACAAGAAAACAATAATTGTGGATAGAATAAAACAAAGTAGCTTTGAATTGATATTAAATCTAAGAGAGAATACAATATGAATTCAATGTCACAGTCACTACCCCAATTGGATTTTCATAACAGTATTATGCAAGACTATCATTATTGCACTTATAGAGTATAAACTATACGATTACCAAATTCCTAATGTGTTAATTTATTTACAAAGATATATTGATCAACCATGCATCATTGTGATATAAAAAGAAATGGGAAAAGGGGGAGCAGGGACAAAGGGAAAAAAACTCAAGTCGAAGAAAACAAACAACACAATGACCAAAAGAAAACTGAGAAAGAACAACAGTCCACGACAATACACACAGAAAACAAAAGACAGCACAAACCCTACCATAAACCAGAAGTGAACATATATTTTTGACACAATAGCAGAATTACCTTTGATTTTGGCAGCCGCTTATTACAATTTTTTTTTCGGATACTTGGTATTGATTTATTTAGTTTGTTGTTTTTTCATGTATATAAGCTCAGCACTACTAAAAATATAATGAATTTATTTTATTCTACAGGAGATTAGTTGTTTCTCCCATGTTTACGGAGCCTGGTGTACACAGTCTAAATCTTTGGAGATCTCTGTGATAGAGGACCCAACAAGTAATAGTAATTATGGATTTAACCTGACAGTCCTGTCTGAGTGTAGATCAACATCCTCAGGAGAATTCGATCCAGTCAAAGATAATACCAGTATGTATTCATGAGGGTCTGGATGGGTTTACAGAATAGAGAATAAAAGACAAAAAATAAAGAATAGAGAAAAAATAGGCAAAAAAAAAAAGAGTAGAGAATAAAGGGGTGCAAAAATATAACGAAATATAAACTTCCTATCTACCGAGTACTTGTGTATTGTTTCACATTATTGCCATGTATAAAATCGTCGTATTTTTTTCTCGGGAATTGACAAATCAGAGCGTCTTTAAATTTGGTACCAAGCTTCTTGCTTCACTTTGTGATGTTTTTTTACATCCACCACTCTTTGACTTCCTGTTTACAGAATACCTATAGCGGGGTATCATTATGAGTAATAGCTCGATAGTACTAGTCCAACTTATTTTATCCGAGTTGACAGATGTTTTCAGTGTTTCTGCTTATATATGTATATCTACATAAACCATGAATAGCTGTCTTTCGTGATAGCTCATCTTTAATTTTTAAAGTATAACTAAAATATAACAGCAATTATTGTGGAAGAAGTAAAGCAGCAAAACAACAAAGTTGATGAGGCTCTACACAAAAAAAAAAAGTTACACGAAATTTGTGGTGGAGCTCGTGTTGTTCAGTCTTTAGTTTGTATGTACTGTTTTGTAGGCTATTGGCTGTCTTTTTTATCATTTTTTTTATCTGTCTCTCTTCGACTTATGCGGTTTGGTTTTCCCTATGTCATCTTCCTCCTCTTTCTTTTTTTTAAGTTAACTAACACAATATGATTTTTATCTTATTTTGTGTTTAAATTTTCAGGCAAAAAAATTGACGAGATAGAAGCAGAAATGAACCAGAACAGAATTATAGGCGTGGTGGTCGGTATATCTCTGGCTTGTATGTTTCTGATTATTATGTTTGTGTCATACCAATACTACAAGAACAAACCAACATACAGACAACAACGAGATATGTAAATGTAATGTGCTTAGGCTGTAACTTCAGGGAAAATCCACAGAACGGTGTCAGAACAATTATATCAAAAGTTGTTAGTTGTTTTCAAGGAACTGCATAACATCTCTTGTTGTAACATCACTTTTAGGCCAAAAAAGATATTGTTCTGTTTCCTGCCCCCATATCTACTCTAAATTCTCATGTCCACACTAAAATATTTTATAGACATTTTTGGTTAATAAGCAATTTTTATTAAAATGTAGGCTTTTTGGATAAGCACCGTTGAAATCCAGAACATTCCACTTTACGTCCTTGAAAAATAAAAAAAAAAAAAATTATTTTAACTTACCTTCCCTATTAATCTGTAAGGAAGCAAGAAACAGGTGTATGAAAATATTGGCCTTAAATGACACATTTATGAAACCGAATAAGTTGTAATTGTGGATTGACATATTACAATTAAATAGGACAACTCCTCCCTTCGAAAATAAAAATGAAGAATAAAAATAGGGATTCCCTTTTCTTTATACAGACAAATACTCAATTGAAATCAAACGTTTGTTTAATAAGAGTTTGTAATTACTATTAGAATAAATTTTTTAAAATGTATTTGTATGAACAGACCAAGATATTTGTGATGAAGATTTTATAAAGTCAACACGTATCTTTACAGACGAATACTTTGTTTTTTTTCACTTTTTCTTTTCTAATTTGTATATTTGATATTTGTGTTCATTATTTGAAATGTTCTATTAGAATGTGAAACATATGTGCGTTGTTGTATAAGGAATACATAGGAAGCGTTGAAAGATATGAATGTTTGTTTGTTGGAGAATTCTTAAATGCAATAGTTGTGATTATGAATTAAAAATGTGATACTTGTAATAGTTACTGGATTTTTTAATTACTTATAACAAACAGATTCATTTACATTCTTTGTTACCATAGAAACTGGTACGGTTTTTTGGGAAAATTTAGATGAAAAGAATAATAAATTAATACATCATGGCTTTTTTTAGGACATGCAGTGGAAAGATTTATTCATTCATTTTCTAGTTTAAAGAACAGTGACATTATTTTGCCCTAAAAACCTACAAAAACTAAACTCAAAATGTTGTATTGATGTAAATATTTCTTTAAAATACAACACTAGAAAGAAGTAAAATCATGCCAGCTTAATCTTTTTATTTTTTCGATAAATTAAATGATCTCTATGCAAATATGACATTGAGAAGCTAAATCAAAGACAGTGTGCCTTTTTTTTTATCTAATTATGTTATGCAAATACTATGGTATTACTCCTACGGCAATTTTAAATCAAACGTATTTTACTAATTGTACAATTTTTTATGTTTAAAGCAGCACTGATCATTTACACCTTAATCCTTCAAGGTCAAAATTTATTGGTTCTTTTTTTTTAGTAGAACTTTCCAATGATATCTTAAGTTAAGCGAATTTTGTAGTCCTAAAGAAACATGTTAACCTTCCTGGTTGGAGCTTACATTAACTAAGTTGCTTTACAATGTTATACTTGCAATCATGCGCAGTCTAAACAATGTCAAATATCTTGCAATCGACATCAAATAGAAACCAGCACGTATAAATAAAGGTTTAAACTTTTCATTGTGTAAACATTGTCAAACATTTTATCATAAATCATTGTAGATTTTACTGACTAATTTTGCTACTGAATAAAACATGTTTGTTTCATGTATCTGCTTTCTTTCACAGCTTTTATATTACTTTTTATACTTGTAGCAGATACGGGGTGTGTGGGAGGAAAGTAATCCCAAGTCAGGAGCCTCTGGCCTTTGTTAGTCTTGTATGTTTTTTAATTTTAGTTCATTTATATGTTTTGGAGTTTCATGTGACGTCCATTTTCATTGAACTAGTACACATTTTGTTTAGGGGCCAGCTGAAGCCCGCCTCCGGGTGCAGGATTTTCTCGCTGTGTTGAAGACCCATTGGTGGCCTTCGGCTGTTTTCTGCTCTTTTGTCGGGTTGTTGTCTCTTTGACACATTCCCCATTTTCATTCTCAATTTTATTAAATGGCTATTTCCAATCAAAGGGGTGGGGATAGATTACGTCCTTTACGACCCCCCTAAACCAACCACTAGTCTGAATCATGACGAAATAGAGCTTGGAAAGGACATCAATTTTAGATTATTTTTAAACACTTGTTATTAAATAATGATATATGTACTTAGATGATACAACATTTTACGATCTTGATGCATATTTGGACTCACCAGTTTTCAAGATGAGTCCAGACAGATTTTCGTGAGTCCAGGGCTCATGGATTCGCCTAAGTGAGAATCCTGTTAAATGGGTCTTTTATCAGACTTTTTTTGACCTGTACAATGTTTATATTTGGTGATATTCATTAAAAAAATCCAACAAGTTTGCTCTTAAACAAGACGGCTAACGGAAATATTTCTTTTGGTCTCAAACGTTTCTGCGAATCTATACATCCCTTGATTGCAAAAACCTTGGGTTTGGGCGTTCCTGATGAATCTTAATCCAGAGAAACTACACTCCTAACTGTGTATTGCTACCTAAGTGTTATTTTCAGTGACTAGAACTGGGTCGACACCACTGCTAAAGGTCAGTGAGACACAGAGGGTCAATAATTTAGCACATATTGAATAAAATTCTCCGTTGATAAATTAAGAAATTGCTAGAAAACTAAGATACCATAAAAAGTGTGCTTTGATAATCAAGGCTGTCCGTTTTAGTTCCCTATTTGACATATAAAACTCAAAACAATTTGATGTATTTATACATCCCTGACTTTCAAACTTTTCGGTTTGAGCGTACACGGTGAATATAAATCCAGAAAAGCGAGTCGGACGCACGAAAGGACAATAAATGAATGATAGGGGTCGATTTTTTTAATAAGTTTACTAGTATATTTATCCTCGTCTCATGGGTTTTTGTACTAGTAAGAATGCATTGTGACGTCACAATTTCCATTAAAAAAGCATGCATAGTACGAATTCATATGACGTACGAAAACATATGATTTGACCATATATTATTGATGGCTTAAGTATAGAAACTTGAAAAACAAACATATAGAGATTCGAAAACTAGTAAAAACTTATATAAATCCGTCTCTCTAAATCAGCCTTTGATCTTACTACTATGACATTTGCTAAGCAGAAAAGCAGCAAATATCAATTTCAAGTATTTGGTTTGATGCGGCCGGGGATCCAACCAAAAACATCCCGCACTCGAAACAAAAATGTCCCCACTAGACCATAGACACGGTCTTAAAATTCACTTTAGAAGTCGCTTTGGTAAAGATTAGCACAATGCTACTAACACATTCTAATACTTAGAGCTAATTGCCTAATACTTGTGAAGGATAATTTTTGTTGCTTTGCTAGCTTTGTTTGTCTAAACGCTTACTCAAGCTTTGTGATTAAGATAGACATCTTCAAACAATATATATAGGCATAGTTAAACCTGTATATATTATATCTAAATTTGATTGGACGTTATCCCAATTACAATTGTACAATATACAAACAAAGCAAGCAAGCTAACCAAAGTCTTGCTCTACATGCATTAGGAAATTAGCTCAAAAGGTATTGGCATGGAAATTTATAATTCATTTGGTTGAGAGATGGGGAACTGAGCAATTTGTTCAGCAATTTCGTATAAAGTGGTTGAGGCACGACTCCCAAGGACAAACCCCAAGGTTCAATGTGAAGGTAATGTCATAAAAACAAGAATGTAAAGGGTTTAGATGGATCTGAACAGTTTTAAAAGGAATAAAAATATATAAAGATAAGACGATGTGGTATTATGTCGATGACAACTCTTAACAAGAGACCAAATGACATAGAAGATAACACATATAGTTCACCGCGCGGTCTTAAACAACGAGCAAAACCAATACCGCATAGTCAGTTATAAAATAAAAAATGTAATACAATTAAAATGAGAAAACTAACGGCCTGATTTATGTACAAAAATGATGAACGAAAAACAAATATGATATACATCAACAAACGTCAACTACTGAATTATAGGCCCCTGAATTGGGGCAGGCACATACATAATGTGGCGGGGTGAAACTATAGTTTGAAGGCGCCAACCCTTCTTAACCTGTGACAGTGGTGTAACACGTACAGTAAAAGTAAGAACAAACTATAAAAATCAGTTGAAAAGGACTTCACTCGTCAGATCGATACAAAGCAGAAATACATCTAACAAAAACACTGACGGAACGTGGCAGGGTACTTATGCATCCCCACAACATAAACAAAAACGCGTTCATTTGGTATTCTTCATACCAGCAGGTAAACCCTTGCCAAATTGGGATGGCCGTTTGACTGTGTGGGATGTACACGTACACAGTCACGTCCGGTCAGAATGGGGACGTTAAATCAAATGCCTAGTAAAAAGAAGATAAAGTGCCACGCTCTTTGCACGAGCAGAACCCTTGAAACAACTCTTATAGTGGCCCAAAGTACGTGTCTTATTGCAAGGCGAAATTTCCGTCCCTATATTATATACCCTCATTTTCCAGTGGAAGTTCAATTGTCCCGTCCTTCAACCCGGCCGACCCCTATAACACAACTAAACTATCGTATATATTGTTAATATGTCCTGAGCATGGATTGAAATATTTGACGCTGGATGTTCAGCTACCAACAATCAATCACCGATCAATCATGGCAATAGATAAGGATATATACCATTTTTTTAATAGATAATTAACGATTTATTATATGAAGGGGGGAGATTTTACCCTAAGGGACAAAGCATTGTTTAATGCTACTCAAATGGCGTCAATGTGAGTTTTTGTTACTATATATCTGTTGATGTATTTGTATACATAATATATTTGCATTTTTACCATGATTACTATGGTTTTGTCATGTCTTTATTGTTGAAAATTTTTACTCAAAATTTTAGTTTCTCTGATATTTCTATTCATTGGATAGACATAACAAACTTTTTTGTTTCAAAAGATAAACACAAAAGGATTTTTGTAAAAAAAACATTTGGAATACCTTACTTACACAAGTATGCCCTAAATTTGTGCAAATAACTCATCTTTATGAAATTTTCATAATTTTACATTAAAAAAGGGCATTTTTGTGGTATCTTTATCTAATTTTAAAAATTTCCATTGGTGATTTGTTCATAAAAATTAGTACAAAATAATCTTCAAACATAATCAAGCCGCCAAATATCACTTTAAACAATAGGGATTAATGCATTCGTTATTAAGTTAATGATTAAATGAGAAGAAAAATGCCTCTTTTCATTTGAGTTTCTTATTCAACTGATTCTTGCCTCATTCAATTAATAGATTAGATCACATAATAACTCAAACGGCCAAAGGTCTTTTTCGGGTATGGTCCTATAAGACCCACAGAAGGCGTTTGACACAGTAGATCATAAGATATTATGTGAAAAATTAAAAATTATTAGAGTTAGATCTATACCTTGGTTTTAGTCCTATTTGACAAATAGAACATATTGTAAGTATAAATGGACAAAACGGATTTAGGGGGGGGGGGGGGGGGGGGGGTCAGGGGGCCTTTTAGTGGGAAAATTTGGTTGATTATTAAGGGAATATCTGAAGCACGACTGGAGCGGGCCCCCTCTTGGATAGTCAGTGCCCCCCAACCCCTTTATGAAAATTTCTTGATCCGCCACTGTAAAGTTTTAATATATGCAGATGATACTGCAATTGTATTTTCCCATATAAACCCTGGGGTCATCTCTCATAAATTATCCAAAATGGTGGGAGTCATTTCATGAGTGGCTAGCTGATAGTACATTGTCCCTACATTTGAGAAACACGGAGGGTCTCTAATACCGGTTGTGATTTTGCTATCTCTTCTAATTGTATTAATATTGAATCAAGAATATTTGCAAATTATTTTGGAATTGTAATTGATCAGTTTCTGACTGGTGATTATATTGTCAATTCTATAGCGAAGAAAGTTAATCAAAGGCTTAAATTTTTATATAGAAACAAAGAGTGTCTAAATTTTCATATAGAAACAAAGAGTGTCTAAATTTTCAATCTAGGAAAACACTGTGCTCTTCTCTGATTCAATGTCATTTTGAATAACTTTTTTTTTAACTTTAGATTCTTTATTTCTTATAAAAGCAAGTTAATGGTACAAAGAAAGATATTTTTACATATACTAATATACAGATTCTGCGCATGACGAGTTTGTACAAAACGAACATAAAAAGATGAGAGATTGATGATCAACATGGAGAGCATACTTCTGTATTGATAATTCTGATAAATTTACCCAAATATTTCAATACCCGAATATTTTTTGAAACAAATAAAGTGCCGAATTTCAAAAAATTTACTCGGCTTACATAGTAAGGTTTGAAAAAAGCTCTTCTACTTTCTGTTAGAACTGTACAATTTAGAATATAGTGAAATTCATCACCTATCTCTCGAAAATTACAAAGTACACAGTATCTTTCCTGTCTAACAATTCCAAGCCATCTACTGGTTTCTATAGGTAACCGGTGATTTCCAGTTCTAAACCTACATAACGTTATTTTATCTTTATAAGGTAATAAGTCTAAATATTCTTCAAATTCAAAGTTTTCTTTAAATAGTTTATAACATAATGCTTTTGGAGAGTTTTCCATTTCTGATTTCCAAGTCTGCTGAAGTTGGTCAAATATTCTCTGTTTAATGCTCAACTTGAACAATTTT